TGTATTAATAATTATAACAAACTAAAAAAAAAAAAAATTCACAAAAAATAATTGAATATCAATTCAATAAAAATTTAATTAGTAATAATTTTATCAAAATGAATGGTACTGTTACTGAGGTTTATGTATTACTACTACCTTTTGAACAAAAAAGAATCACCGAAATCAGTTCACAATTACACATACAAAAAATTACAGTCGAATTGAGAACCTCCTTTTTTGGAAGTCGGTTGAAAAAGCCTAGCATTAATAACACTAAATAGTACTTTTCGGGAAAAGATGCCTTTAGTGAATTCAATTTCTTTATCGTAGGCATTAAAGACGGAGGAATTAAAGCCGTTCGTGCAAATGGGCGGTAAATCAATGACATAACGATGGAGTGTTCCGGACTTTCTAATCAGCCGAAGGAGGAACAGTGAAGGTGGAACTAAATTGAAAAGTTCTTGCGCACAATCTTTTAAATAGACTAGCGGTATACAGATTATAAGGGCGCCTTCAAATCAAACGCTTGTACAAATTAATTTTCATATAAAATCAAGTCTGCAAAAGAGGAGCGCGCGTGACGCTGCACTTGTATGAAAATTAGTAGTGAAGGGGCTGTAGTGCTTCTATAAGCGTCTAATTGAAATGCGCCCTTATAACGTGATCTCACAATACCGATGCTACGAGTTGCATAAAGAGCTATTTGCCTAAAATATTGTTATCTCAAGATAAAACTTTGTAATAACATCGAGGTTTATAGTAGACTGTATACCGTTTTCTCCGTAACATTGTTTTGCTGAATTCAATTTATTAAGTGTTTTTGTCGCCAGTTTTAGTGCCAGCAGTAATTATATACCTAATAGAAAATATAGTTTTAATTTTTAGTAAGAAATAAATCGACGTTTGGAATGTCTGTAAAGCCCTATAAAATTCATCCACGTAAAAGTAAACTACAAGAAAGCTTTAATAAAAACGGTCCCAATTCTCAGTAGCCGTAACTGTGTTTTAATTAGGTCTAAAGTTTAATTTACACTTTGCGCCATTAAATTCTGCAATACGTTCATTTATTTTTACTCGCTTCATACTCACGAACTAAGGTTGGTAATTTAAAAAAGTAATCGACAATAATGATTAAGACGTTGCTTTGAACTATAAAACGTACGAATGATACTTACATTTATTTATTATTAAGACATGATTCTAGTATGTAATTTTTTTAGTAGATTTTTAGATAGTCGAGGTTATTTGTAAACTAAATATTTCGTACCCTTGGTATAATACCGTCGGTGTTTCATAGAAAGGGCGAAAGCGCCATTTTTCAGGGGAGCTAGTTTTAGGTTTTAAAATTAAATTTTGATTTTAAGTTTTAGAAAACGATATAGATGTGACATGTGAGCTTATCCCAATAGTGGTAACCTATCACAAAGTAGGAAATTTATTTGTTTGGAATAACGTTTGTTCGAATTTGTATTACACCGAAAATCGAATTATAACGAAACAGTTGTTCTTTCAGGATACGTTGAATGTTTATCGCAAAGACACGATTAGGTTCGATTAGGTTAGGTTAAGTTAGGTTTAAAAGAAAAAAACATTTTCCTCTCCAAATTACTTTCGAGATCATGAAATTTCGCCCAAACGTCATTTCTGGAAAATTTCAAAAAAGTAACACGAATTAAATGAAATAATTTATGTCTATACCACCATTAATCAGTGACACCTGTGAAGATCCCGAAACCTTGGTTTGTTTAAAAAAAAATATTTAGAGTCGAAAAAATATTTTCATTTTCTATGTGTAACAATCGCGAGAACCTAAGAACTCGATAAGTTATGAATATGTGAAATTTTATAACTAAACGTGTCGACTAATTTCATTCGTAGAATGTTTAGGCTTTCCTGAAGTCATTTCGCAGATGTGACCTTATCATAACAAGCGTGCAATTTTACCACAAATATTACATATGTAATACATAGTTTTTATTTATAAAGAATACAAAGTACTCTCCCACATGAAAGTTCTAATGCTACGACTAGGCCTCGATTAAGAAGATTTTGGGTCATAGCTGTAGGGTGCCGAATTTGTTCCCCATTTTTATAACTATGTATGCCTTACACAATGTCGAATACGCGTGATGACGCAACCGATCTGTGAAGATTCTACATCGACTTGTTCCTTATATTACCTAATATTTTTAGAAAAGAAATCGGAAAATATCAACTCCACAAAACGGGGTTCGATTTCCTCAAGAAAACACCCTCTTTCCCTCCTCTCTACTGATTGAGTTAGGTAACACCTGAGTGGGGGTTTTGAGAAATGTAAACATTATCGTTATTAAAATCGAGTTCATTGAATTCTGAAGTAATAACTAATGACTCCTTTAAAATAGATTTAAAACATTTATAACCTGTATGAAACAAAATTCGTAAAACAAAATAATTTCAACAATATACCTACGAATAAATTATTTACTAATAGATTTTAAACAATTCTTCAGATTTTTAGAATATAATTAATTTATTACAACGCCACAACACAAAAATATACAGAAAGAAATTTAAAACAGACAAAGCGAAACAAAAAAATAAAATAACAAAAAAAAAACAACGAAGCAAACATAATCAAATTTTATAACAGTCAATATGATAAATGTTCTGTGTGCGGTTGAGGCGTATGTGAAATATCCACTTAGCTAATCTCACAGCATAGTAAAGACTGCGACGCTGATTTCTATTACTTTGAGTTAATATCCATTTTGTTGTTCTACTCCGTACCTATTTAATAATCAGAATGCGCCGGAAAACCAAACCATGTATTAGTACCAGAGCAACGGAACTCAATATGGGGCACTTCCCGTCCAGCAGCGCACACAGTGCAAGCTGTTTGGCCACCGAGATGAGAACTATACAGGGTGTAAATTTTGAGACGGGGCAGCAAGGCAGCTACCTTAATCATTGTAGTTACAGGAAAACGGTTCTAGAGGACTATCCATGAATTTTGAAGATATTTTGATTGGCATTCACAGATTTTGAAAATGGTACAGTCAGCCAGATAAAAGGCAATTTTTTACAAAACTTTTTTTTATGCCATTCGATCCGGTCTCTGGTAAGGATATATAGTCTCTATGGGACCAACTGAGGTAAGAGTACTCGAAATGGCAGAAATCGCAAAAAATCTTAGATAATCCACTACTCTACAAAAAAGACTTAAGTAAAACCAAATCATAATCATATCACTATTTTTTAAATTTGAAACAGCTTTGTTTTGTTTTGTTAATGGAGAATTGTCACTTTTAAGACGATTTTTTTTCAAAATGTTCTCAAAGGAGGTAACAAATTAATTGGAACACATGGTCCTATCAAATGGCCACCGCGTAGTCCTGATCTGACGCCTCTTGATTTTTTCTTTGGCGTTATGTAAAAAATTAAATTTATAAAAAAAATACAATAGTGTCCAAGAATTGAAAGACGCACTTGCAGCAATTTTCAATAGAATCCATCTGAGTAGAATTTCAGCCTCTACTTGCTCTTTGCGGAAGAGAGCGAATCGATGCATCCGTCAATGAATTCGAGCACGTACTATCATGGACTCATCATGTTATTTTGCTTTTCGTTATTCTTTTTATTTTGAAATACATAATACGTTGTCAATTTGTTACTTTCCTTATTGTTAGTTACCTTAACTACCTAGAATAAGTGATTACTAAATAGTCCCTACAAAATGTATGGTAAAAGTTTTTTGCGATTTCTGACATTTAGAGTACTCTTACCTCAGTTGGTCCCGTAGAGTCTATTCATCCTTACCAGAGACCGGATCGAATGGCATAAAAAAAAAATTTGTAAAAATTGCCTTTTATCTTGCTGACTGTACCATTTTTTCAAAATCTGTGAATGCCAATCAAAATATCTTCAAAATTCATGGATAGTCTTCTAGAACCATTTTTCTGTAACTACAACGATTAAGGTAGCTGGCCTTGCTGCCCCATCTCAAATTTACACCCTGTATATACCGACGACATATTGTTAAACAAAACTCAAAATCTTGAGCGCGCAGCGCTATACTGGCGTTGGCAAAGTTATGTTTTTTCATAACCCTACATATTCATACAAATTAAAATATTGAATTTATAACATGCATTATTTCATTATTATTACTCACGTACGTGGATTTTGTTGGTATTGGAGCAAAAAATATAGTACGTTTGAGTATGACCCAGTCACAAGCCAAAACAAATTTTTACAACGTAATTTTTCACACCATTTTATTACGATCATATTATTGTGACAGTCCTGTTTTGTATAAAATGAATGTAAGTAAATTTCCCTACTTACAACTTGAATGCAGTTTACAATTTTTAATACTACTAATGAATTTGTTTCAGCACACAGAAAAATATTTTGCTCTAGAGCACCGAGGCGTGGGAAATACGCCTTTATAATTATTGTTGCAACACACAACACAAATAAAAATTCCTTCAATATGGCATGTAGGCTTGGTATGGCAACAAGCACTCGAACCAGTGCTTTTGTCATACCAAGGCTACCGCTCTTAACCGACTGAATTATAGACGAAGTCAGCAGCTCTTACAAATTTCTGTATGCGTTTTCTACAGATCTTTGTATTGTTAAAACAGCTTTTTTGCAATCGACGCCGCTTGTGAGATAATTATGAAGTTTCTTTACTCTGCCAGGTACCTTAATAGCTACCAGAAGCTAACGAGAGATGTCGTATTAATTGCAATGTTTATTTATTGAATATCATGATGTTTTATTACCATGGTATTTCTATATTCTTGATAAACTTCCTCGACTAGTTTATTATTATTGACGCAAAGATGGAACTAACTGGACTCGAACCTGTGTGCCATCGCTTTTAATATATATCATGGTAATAAAACAATATAAATAACTAATTGTTACTTCTTTATATTTCAAAGATGCGTGTAGTAAAAAATAATGATATTCAATAAGTAAATAAATTGTTACTTCATTATATTTCAAAGATATGTAAAAAAAAATCATACCTCGTTAACCCCTCTCACTATGGCCCTCATAGTGGCATTCCGTGGACCGTCCACGGTTCGGCCATCATCAGTAGGGCCCCAGGAAGCACTGTAGATGTGGATCTTATGTGGCTCGTGGCCCATGGAGTTGGCCTCGATCAGGTCTGTCATATATGGCTGGTCCAGCATCCTAATACCTGAAACAAAATATATAACAAACATAAACATCAGGATCAAAATAACTAGGTCTGCGATGAAAAAATTGTTTAAAATTTTATCAATGATCTCCCTGAAGTAAATTTTGTGCTGAGATCTGACGACGGACTAAAGTCCAGGATGCTGGAACTCGGATCATGGAATTCGGCTGGACGGGACACCTAGCAACGCAAGGTGATGACAGGTGGAGCAAGACATCGACTGATTGGTGGCCGAGGATAGGCAAAAGAAACGTCCGGCGCTCATTTGCAAGGTCAGTCGACGACATAGTACACGTAGCGGGACGTCAATGAATGCGGCTACCACGGGACCATGGCGGATGGCACAAACTTCGGGAGGCCCAGCAGTGGGTGCAATCAGGTTGTGTATGACAGGAAAAATAATTTAAAAAATCCATCACCTTTGGTTTACCTAGAATCCTAAATTAAGCTTACAGTTTTTTAAATATACTTTTATTTTATTAGCAGTAGTATAGTTCCTTATGAAAGAGTTGAGGTGTGTGAGTTACTTAAAAAAATCGGGATGGCAGAAATTGGTCAAATTGAATAAAATGTTTTTTCATACAAAATGAATATTAAGTCATTTGTGGTTGTTTTTGTGTGTGTCCATGGCACCCGCAACACAGGGTTTTCCTCGTGCGGGGTTATGTTGAGTGTGTGCGTTGACTGTAAATAACATTTTATTAAATTTGATCAACTTCTGCTGTACCCGATTTTCTTTTTCCAACACAATGAAAATGATTCTTCCATGAAATTGCGTCGATCAGATTTTAAAAATTTACTATGCCAAAATTCTTTTGACAAAAAGCAATGGTTCCTAAGACAGTTTCCCTGTGACTCCTATAGTTTCAGATTTTCCCATAGTGCCCTTGTTAAAAGACACGCTGTATATTGCTTAAACAAAGT